TAGCCTAACTCTTGCTAACGAACTGTCATGCATTGCATCCCCTTCCTGTCAGTTCTTTCTCTGCTTCCACACAAGTTAACCCCCCAAACACATTAGATATGCATTAGATACTTGTTTAAAGAGCTGGTCATCTTGATCTGTAGTGTGATTAAGTGGTCTGTAGAAGACACCAACTAGTCACCACTAGCACCCTATCTTGTGGTTTGTCTGTTAGAACATTGACCCATAAGCATTGACGATCACTTGCTTCACAGTTGGCAGTGACTTGGAAATAGGTGATGTTACTTTTGACAGAGTGGCACTCCTTATCACCTTTTGCCCAGTAGATCATTCCTAAATAGATTTTATCCAGTGATTTTTTTTAAACATTCCCATCTTGTATGAGATTTGTATATCTTTCCACCAGGTTTAGGTAATACCAGCTAGATTGAATCAATGCTCATAATTGACAATACTAATATCTCTTATTTATTATCCAGGCTCCTAGCATTGCCATATAGGCAATGCAGTAATTACTTCTCTACACATCCTTTGGTGCCTTGATCAGTTTTGATCTTGATTTTGTGCTAAACGAGTGTTCCTTTGTCTGCTTTTCACTATCACCTTTTGTTAACGCCCTAACCCATTTAGCAAGCATGTCTCCATGACTATTGGTTCCCCTTATCTGGAGATGGAGGTCCTCCAAACTATATGGCCTCCTCTCCCCATAGAAGATGGCCCAATGTTCCACAAAACCAATGTTTTCCTATACCACTCAGACAGCAGTTCACTTCCAGAACATTCTGCTTTCTGTCTTCTTTTGCTTGCGAGACAGGAAGAATCTTAGAGAAGATCACCTGAACATTTCTCTCCCCCACGCCCTTCGAAGTTCACTGAAGCAGTATGTAATCTGAAATATCCTGTGAAGCAGTATTGTTAGTGGTAATATGCACCATTGCCAGTGGATCTTCAAAGCTTATCTCGCAGTCACATCCCCTGTGCTGGCTCCAGGAAGACAGCACACTGGTCCTATTGTCCACCTGTCCCTTGCAGAACCTTCTCTCCATTTCTCTTAGCATAGAATCCCTGACAAGGATACTCTGTCTGTCTTTGGACAGTTGGAGATCTTTTTGGGCATACCTGATGGTCTTGCAGGTTGGCCCGAGCAGTCATCCTCAAGCATGTCCTAGTGATAAGGCAACCCCACCAGGGTGCCATGCTGCGGCAGCACAACAAGCACACCTGCCTCACTTTCCTCTTCTGCCGATGAAAGGAACATAGTCTGAATCTGGTACAAAGCCTACCTCTGGACATAATTTATTGCCATATCCCATCGCAGTAGTTCCCAAATAATTGTAATAAAACCAATCTCCAGTTTCTTTGGCTCCTGATCTAGGCCCCACTCTTCAGGTCTCTCTGCCAATCTTCAAGCAGCCCTTCACTCAGGTCTTCACCCCAAGGGCTTCTCCTTTAGTAACATTCCACTCCTCCAGGCCTCCCTGCCAGTGAGTCATGCCCCAGCTTAGGGGATCCACCCTCTTGCTTCTGGGCTCAGCTTCCACTGACCATGCTGGATCTTCCCCTTTTCCTAGGAGGCCACTGCCTGAGCCTTCTGCTTCTCAAGGGTTTCAGCTTTGGTCAGTTCTGCTCAGCAGTTCTGTTCCAGGTCTCCACAGAACTCAGCTCCCTTTACCAGGGAGCTCTCTCCCAAGCCACTCTTGCTAGCTCTTCCTTGTTGCTTCTGTCTCTCTCCTCTGGGTCTCAAGCAGTTCTCACCTGCCTCTTCATGACTCTCTCAGGCACTGACTTACCAAGTTTCTCTCATGTAGGGTCCAGGTGCCCTTGTAAGCCCAGTTGAGAAGTAGCTAATGAGTCACAGGTGCACTGGCTCTTGCTCCCTTTTAAAGAGCAATTCTCCACCTGTGACCTCAGGTTTACAAGCTCTTCAACTCAAAGTCCTCAAGCTCTGTGAGACTGGTCTGACTAGTCTTCTGGAGTCTGGGGAAAGAGCTAATCCATTACAAGCTGGATGGCTTCTAGTCTCCTCTCCCCCACTTGGCTTCCTGTTCCTGTTTAAATAGATCAGTCCTAGGGCAGAACAGGGAGCCTCCTTGATTATCCCCAGGCTGCTCTAATGGTGAGCTCCTGGGTTTCCCTTAAAGGAGTCATACCCTCCTTCACATGGCCCTCTAAGAACACACCATACAGATCAAACATCTGGGCAGATCAAGGACCAAAATGGTCCATTCATTGTATTTAGTATATTACTTTGATTTTCTTGAAGGATTTTAATTTTTGTCATGCTTATGTATTGCCCTTTTCTTCAATGACCCTTGGCTCCCTCTTCGCTCTAGACTAGAATGTGGACTAGATTCTCAACTTGCCATTTCTTACTCAGCTGCTTTCCCTGCTGACTCTAAGGCAAAATGAGCTGTTCACTCTAATAACAAATTTCTCCAGAGTCTTGCCCTTGTCTGGGTTAGCATTTTCTTCTTCATAAATGCCCATCCAAATTGAGTAGATACACAGTAAGTTCAGTAGCTCCTTGGCTTTAAGTGGCACCTGCTGAAAATTCAGTGCCA